GTACCAGTGGGCGTGGTAGTTGAGAGGGGGCTTACCAAAGTGTCAAAGAAGCACGGAATGTTTTCAACAAGCGGTGTCCACAGCAAAGGGAGCGGAGCGGATGCGGATGAGCGACAGGTTCTACTTCACTTCACTTCACTTCCGGGAGAGAGTTTACCGTGTTTATTTTAAGCCAACTTCAAGCACTTAATAAAATATGGCAAACAATTACGAAGGAGCGGACAAACTTGTGGATAAATGAAAATAGAGTTTAGGCTGGCAAAAAGTTCGTCCTTTTACTGGCTACTTAGCCTGGAGGACAGGTGCAATGATGTAACAAACACTGAAAGCATTTGAAAACTTCTCTTATCTGAGCTCTCTACCCCACAACACTCTTTCACTTTGCCAAACACTTTTTCCACTAAATTTCATCAAACGAACCATAACAAAAAGAAAAACAAATAGCTTCAAATAATTCAGAACTTTTCTGATTTTGAATTTCAGTTTAAATTTGGCGCTTAGAAACCTCGAAAATACTGTATGCTTTCTACCATCCCTAAGTGTGACCACAAACAATACTGTCATCGCCTTACAGTCGATGATAATCGTCTTAACAGGTATCGCTAGTACACAGCAAATCAAATTCAAATTCAAATATTATTAATATTGAAAAATATTGTTACGAACCTTTTGTTTTCTTCGGGGCAAGGCCGGCTAGCCAGTCATCCTTTTCCCTTAAATTTTGGCCCTGCCACTATGTTCGAACTTCTTTCCTCCTCACCGCTTCTATGGGATATCACCTATCGATATCTTCGCATGCAACACCTAGCGAAAATTCGAGCGACAATGGCCGCGGAGATTTATTCGCAAACATCGAAGAGTTACACGTTTCCCTAAAACTGCTGGCCTTCCCGGACATTACGGTGCCTAGGATCTTGCAGCGCCCAACGTAGGCTTACACCCACTGATCGGATATTCCCTACGTGAGTGCGTTTCCCTTGTTTCTGGCTCAGTCTGAAGTTTTCGCTACAATTTTAGGTCTTTGGCGTGAAAAATCCCCACCGGCCTCCCCGACAGATCCTCCAGCACGAACTCGTTATTCCCTACTGGACGTACGACTCTGCATTTTAGGAATTTCCCGGCGAACTTGGCGTTGTAGCTTTTGCCAAAGTCGCTGAGGGTGAAGTTGCGCCTGTAGACTTCTTGGCCAGGTCTGGCGAAAAAGACTCGGGCCCGTTTGTTACGCTGGCTGCTCCGCTCATACGCTTGGTGTAGGCTGCATTTAATTTGCTCGCGAATGAGGTGTCGCTTATCCGCGGGATCTAATGCGTGCACTTCATGTTCCGTCAAAGACTGCAGCTTCCTCGCCAGCTTATAGCAGTTCCCATTCAGAAACATCTGTTGTCCAAATACAGCGGAAAACGGCGTTACGCCTGTGGCTTCGTGACACGGATTGAAACTTCGATCTCCGGTAGGTAGATGTCCCAGTCTCTGTGATCCTTTTCCAAATACGTCCTTATTGCAGCGAGTATCGTCCGATTTACTCTCTCGGCTGCATTGCTTTGCGGCGAGTAGACTGTTGTGCATGTGTCGGATCCCGAAGCCGCTGACCATGTCCATGAACGTCTTCGACAGGAACTACTCATCATCCTCTCTTCGGCCGGTATGAACTTCAAACTATTTTTATTAAATTTATTTGGGCTATTATTCTTAATTTCTATATTGATTAGTGGACCATCGTTCATTTCTTCGCGGGCTTCTGTCCCGAGCGCTAATCTCCCGCTTTCATCATGCCCGCTCGTGCGTTTCCCGAGCAATTTGGACACGTTGGAGTAAGCATTTCTGGCTTTCCGCAGCGGTAACAGAATATTTTGCGTTCCTTCGCCACGCAGTCTCGGAACCCGTGGTCGAACTGGCCGCAATTCCAGCAACACAGCCTGGGTTTGTTCGCCAGGTGAGTTTCTTCTACTATCCTTGCTTCGTCTTCATCCAGAAACTCCGTTTCCGGCTCTAGCTCCTCCACTCGCTTCCCGGCTGATTGGAATTTCGGCGCAGGACGGAACGTCGACTTCTGCTCGCGTCCGCGAAAGTGGTACTCCACTTCCAGGCACTCTTCCCTCAGCTGCTCCACGTTTCGGACTCGGATCGCGTTAACGTAGCGGGCGATCTCGTCATCGAGTCCCTTCTTCAAGACTCGCACCATTTCGGACTCAACCAAAGGTGTGGTGAGTCTAGCTGCCAGCCTGCGCATCGCTCTAAAGTACTCTTCCACAGATTCGCCAGATTGTTGTCGTCGCTCATGCAAGGTGCGTAGCCGCTCGAACTCGCCACCCACTGCTCGGAACCGGGACACCAACTGGTCCTTCAAATCCTCCTCAACGCTTCTATGGGATATCACCTATCGATATCTTCGTATGCAACAATATAAAAGCAAAACACTCACCCCACCTGTTCCCATATTTCTGTATCGCTGAATTTATTCGCTGTTGCCTCTTATAGTGTTTACTCGCCGGGTGGCAAAAACAACTGTCAAATTTCTGACACACGAGACAAGGAAAGAGACACACAACTTGCAAAAAATGCTACAGCGAGAACAAGAGGAAGAGAAATCCAACTTAAATCCAAATCCCAACCCAGCTGTGGTGCTGTCCAGAATGAAGGAGAGCGAGAGAGAGAGGGAAAGCTCTGGGAATGATGGACAGCTTCGGAGGCTTAGACTTTTTATATCCTTGCTAATCAAGCACACCTATGCCCATCCTTGCAAACAAAATATCAACTATTTCTAATTAAAGTCTTTTATTGTTCTCCGCGAACTGTTTATCCTTCATGCGTCTTCTTCTGAGTATTTGAGGTCCTTTTTGGCTTGTTCCTTTTTCAAGATGGTGTTCAGTTTTACAAATATCTGCTCCTTGATCCACTGCTTGTTGCGCGGCACGTACTCGCTGGCGCCCTCCTGTTTCACCAAGCAGACGATGTCCTTCAGCTCGTCCATGAAGTCGTACAGTTCGGTGATGTCGTAGTGGATGACACGCATGTCGGGGTATTTGCGCTCCAGAACCGATTCGTAGATGGCGCACACGCGATTCACGCAGTCGTCGATGCTGTGGAAACGAGCGTAGGAGCGCTTCTGCAGACGCTCGTCGGGCTGGATCAGTAGAAGAATTGTGCACGGCATTTTCGGTAATCAAATGTTTTTTTTAATTCTTTTTACGAAATTTTACACACAAAAGGCTGCTTTTGTTCTGGACAGAACGTCAGAAATGACGTTGCAGTTCTGCTAGGATTTGACATTTAAAATGAAATGTCAGTACAGGGCCTACTATTTCGATTATTCCTAAAACTTCTAGAGTGCATAGTAATATATAATATAATATGTCTATAATTTAATATAATAAATAGGATAATATATAATATACTCACTTATTTCAACTTGAATTCCAGAAAGAGTTGAATTTTTGTATTCTTATTTGCACTTTCACTCACTTTTTGCCAGTAGAGCGTTTCATTTTTCACTTGACTTGACGCCTAACGCGTGACGCACGCGCACAACTCTAGAACTTAAACGCACGATTTAATTATTGACCGCTATGAATGAGGGACCGAGCGGGGGTGAACTGTGAAAGCTGTGATAAGAATGCAGCAGCGTGGCCGGCTCAAAGTACTAAATCCCCTAAGCTCATTTCAAAAAACAAGAGCGAAAGCTTGTTGTCGAACAATTGTTTACATATGTATGTGAAGAGCGATAAAAGTGCATGCTCAAGGCTCTGCTTTGAAATCGGCCTTTGTTTCTGTGTTTATCTTATCTCTCCCCATCTCATAGCAAAAGCGAGAGCGAAGAAGAGCATAGTTTTCGCACATCGCTTTCTGTCGCTGTTAACTCGCTGCTTAATTAACATCCATCTGTAACGACAGTAGAGCATTGGTTCTTTCTCTGTTAGCTCATTGAAAACTATGCAGGGAATTCTGTTGAATATTACATAGTGTTTTCCTGTTGTCCCTATTATCTGAACTTACTGATTTAAATGTTGGCGCTTAGACGAAGAACGTTTGCATGCTAGCGCATGCATTCTACAATCCCTAAGTGTGGCCGCATTACAATCAATGATAGTCGATAGCATCGTGCAGTCAGATTTCCGTAGTCAGTATTTCAAGAACTCCCGCCTTCTTATCGGTTGTATCAGCGCTGTCATTCCACAGCAACTCTAAGCTACGAGAAACATCGAGATATTTCGATGGGTAGACGGACTTCGGGCGATAGGCCATTTACGGTATACTATATACCTTTCTGTATACTGTGACGTCGATAAACTTTCATACGCTCTCTAACATAGTGCTTCCTTGCATTATTTATTCCACAGGAGTGCATTTGTATCCTTTTCACTCATTCATTTTCAAGCAATTCCACTTTGGCGCGCAGTCGATAGTATCGATAGCCGTTTCTTTGAATTAATCGTACTTAGGTTGACTCTTTTGCTTGAACCTTTTTTAGACACAGTCAAAAAAAGAAAACATCCTTAAATAGGACCATTCTTGAACAAAATTTATTCATCTATCGAAGAAAATTATGTCCTTAGGGCTGACAGTCCTAGATAGCTGATAATATTCAGCCGAATATCAAAATCGAGGAATACGATTTCCGATTATGGACAGAGAACGATTAACCCATTGTATTAAAATAAGCTCCACGAAAAAAATTAAATTCGAAGAATTTAGCGCAGTTCCGGTGAAAGATTTAGTAGTCATTATTTTTGTGTAAGTAAAAAAATATATAAATATATATAAAAAGTATTTCCAAACAGTAGTATTTGCCATGGGTTACTCAAGCTGTCCACATAGTTATATGAAGGGGGGCCTAAGTGGGTTAAGTTCTCCAAGCAGCGAGAAACATCGAGAAAATTCGACGAGCAGACGGAACAGAGTCTATATAAAGGCCTGCGATATTCGGGCGACAAACAAAAAAATTTTATCGACTGAGCAACAAGGGTGTGTGCTAACACAGCAAACGAGAAAAAAAATAAAATTGATTGAGAACGTCATCTATTATTTTCAAGAACGTGTAATATATATATATAAATAATTCAAACTCGTACAACAGGAGAAAGAAAATTGAAAAGTGAAGTGGAAATAGTTTTAGCAAAGAGAAAACAGCATTTTAGGTGAGTAGTTTGTGGCAAAATGGAATTGATACTTTAAATTAACATATTCGCATGGCATTCCCAAATGCTTAATGTATGGTGTGTGATGTGTGATGTGCGGTGTGTGGTGTGTGGGAGAATATTATATTAGAGACATGCACAGGGGCGGGCGGACGACGTAGCTCGTGGGGGAAAAATGACAACACATCAGCACCAGCACCAACCCAAGCGAAAGCACAGGGGCTGTGTCGTTGCACAACTCGGTGTTCTAGAAAATTCCATTGAAAAAACAATCGAAGCGAAGTGGTAATCAGTACACATGTTCTATAATATTCTCTGTGTTCTCTGTTCGCTTTCAGGTTGAAAGAGACTGAGCAAGATGGCCAAGGACTTCTACAAGATTCTGGGCATTGACAAGAAGGCCAACGACGATGAAATCAAGAAGGCGTATCGCAAGCTGGCACTGAAATACCATCCGGACAAGAACAAGAGTCCACAGGCCGAGGAGCGCTTCAAGGAGATCGCCGAGGCGTACGAGGTGCTGTCGGACAAGAAGAAGCGCGACATCTTTGACCAGTACGGCGAGGAGGGGCTGAAGGGTGGCATGCCCGGACCAGATGGCAAGAGCCAGCCAGACGGCGGATTCCAGTATCAGTTCCACGGAGATCCACGTGCCACTTTCGCACAGTTCTTTGGCGCCTCGGATCCCTTCGGCGCGTTCTTTGGTGGTGGCGACAACATGTTTGGTGGAGTCGGTGGCGTCCCTTGCAGCAATACAAGTGAGGTCTTCCTGAACATGGGCGCCGATGATATGTTCGGCGGCTTCAATCCCAATGCTGGAGCCTTCCGCTCCCAATCATTCAATGCCCAGGCTCCAAGTCGGAAGCGCCAGCAGCAGCAGGATCCGCCCATCGAACATGACCTGTATGTGACGCTGGAGGAGGTCGACAGAGGCTGCACCAAGAAGATGAAGATCTCGCGCATGTCCATTACGCAGACGGGCAACGCGCGCAAAGAGGAAAAGGTGCTGAGCATCACCGTGAAGCCGGGCTGGAAGGCGGGCACAAAGATCACCTTCCCCAAGGAGGGCGATCAGGCGCCAAACAAAGTCCCTGCGGACATCATATTCATCATACGCGACAAGCCGCACGGCCAGTTCAAGCGCGAGGGCAGCGATCTGCGGTATACCGCTCAGGTGAGCTTGAAGCAGGCCCTGTGCGGGTCAGCGGTGAGCGTTCCCACACTACAAGGTGACCGCATCCCCGTGAACTCAGCCAACGAAATCATCAAGCCCACCACCACGCGACGTATCAATGGCCGCGGCCTGCCCTTCCCCAAGGAACCATCGCGTCGCGGCGACCTGATAGTGGCCTTTGACATCAAGTTCCCGGACAAACTGCCGGCCAGCCTGATGAACCAGCTGGCGGAGATGCTGCCAAATTAAATGGGTACCGGGGAACTACCAATTCGTTATTAATTTAGTTAAGGCCTTAATTTAGTTTGTATTACGTAAATTTAAGACAATTTTGTAAACCGCTCGCTTGGCGGCGGTAGGATTCGCCGATTGGACAATGTTCCAGGCAAACAATTGTAGATAAATATTTATGTGTAGTAGAAACCAGAAAACAGAAACCAGAGAGTAGCAGGCGCTTAATATTCGCGATAAGATAAGCAAAAAGAAATGCAGACACACGACGGTCTGAGTTGTGGGTGTTAGAACCCGTTTTGTGTCGGAGACTGATCGATTACGGACATACAACACTATAATAGTAAACCAATTCCACATTTTCTTTGGTTAAAAGTTCTGGTATTGAAATCTCTTTGATTGAAGGAAAGATTTGTCACTAAAAGTAAGAAAATAATAAATATATATATATATATTTTTTTGTTATCCCATATCTTCGGCATTCTCGCTAAAAAAAAAAAGAAATCCCGTATACCCGCTACCAGCTATAATAATAGATTCCTTTCGTTGTAGGCCGTAGTACGTTTTAGTACCATTATTATTATTACTATTTGAAAGCAACACCAATAAAGACATTTATACGAATTAAGTGTTTTTTGTACGGCAAAGACAATTCAAAATTGCATTTTCAATGGCAACGTTTTGCATAAGGCCTTGAACTACCGCTACTAGGTGGAATAATGGTAGCTTCTCGAAATCGCTATAATATATGAGATAAAATCTTCTTGAATCAACTTTGAAAATGGCGCCAAACCAAACTGTACTGGCGCTGAACAGTGTTGACGAATTGGTAACTTTCCAGCACTATGAGCAGTTACATGTAGTATGTAGAATGTATGTAAAAACAGTGTAGACAAATTAAGTCCAGAATTCGCCACTAAAGCGCCACCAGTGCAATGAGGGCGCCACGATGCAACCGGAAAGCAGCCGTTAAATTTGAAACGGCGGGTGGATAGTAAAACCACAGCACAGCTTTTATAATATATGTTTATTTTATTAGTGATTTCAACTTATGTTGTATTATTGCTGACTTTACTAATTAAGGCCTTGTACAAAAAAATTATTGTATCTCCGTTAAGTGCTAAATTCTATGGTCGTAGTACACATTTCTGTGTTTCTCGTTTTGTGTATGCGTGTATGTGTGTCTGTGTCTGTGGGTGTGTGTATATGTATGTACGTTATATCGTAATATGTATAGATAGGATAGCATTTGGGGCGTTGTTAGTATTTATAAACAATTGCATTGAATAAATGTAAAAAAAAAAAAAAAACGTAAAGCATCGAACGTAATATTTTCTGTACGTATATACATACATATGTATATATTTATATGTACGCGTACTATATATCTTTACATAACGAATCGGGCCTCCCCGAAGCCGCTTGGCGGTCCTTCCATGCATGCATAAATATGCAGTACGAAATAATACGAATTAAAATTAAACTAAACGTATTTTGGCACTGTAAATAAAAGTTGCATCCGATAAAACCCTACAAAAAAAAAACCATACATTACAAATTGCTGCTATCAAATGGGGAAATCAATCGTAATAAATTACACAAAGTTGCCAAATGCCAAATGCCAAATGCAGAGATATCTCTCTATCCTCCTATCCCTACTATCTCTCGTAGATGCTAAGATTTTTCGTTTGATTATGCTAAGAGGCTGCTCCGCCCTGCCGTGGGGCCCCCATCCCATCTAGACCATCCCGAAGTCGGTGCAGACTGAAGCTGCCGTTGCGGCCGCCGCTGTTTGGTTGTTTTGCTGCTTCTCCTTTGAATTGTTTGCGGCTGCCGCTGCCGCCGCCGCCGCCGCTGCCATGTTCAGCTCCACCAGGGTGTCGATGCTGTTGAGGCTGACGCCCTGCAGGATCTTGCGTGCCGCCAGCGACGTGAAGTTGAACGACAGGTCGGTGAGGCTGGGAAAGTTGTAGAGCTCCTCGTTGCCGCCCGCCAAGACACTGCCCATGCCCATTCCCATGCCCATGCCCATGCCCATGCCCTGCTCCAGGGACTCCTTGGTCAGGCTGAGACGTCGGTCGATGCCCTCCTTGTCCATGGCCTTGTCGTTGGCCAGATCCTTCAGCGCCAGATTGGGCTCGCTACCCACCGGATTCGGATTGTTCGACTTGCGCAGCAAGTGGGCCAGCGCCATCTCGTCGCCGTTCATCGAACCCTTCTGCAGCTGGCAGACGGACTCGTAGCAGAGGTGCTTCAGATCGGAGCTGCTGTTCATCATCAGATTGTGGTTGCTCTGCGCCGGGCCCAGGTCCTTGGAGCTCTTCTCGTAAAAGTGCAGATTGCCCACGGACCCGGCGATCTCGAAGTCCTGCTTGGCCAGGGCCGCCAGCTTCAGGGGCTGCTGCTGCTCGGCACTGGGCGAGTTCGGCTGCGACTCGTTCTTCAGGACATTGTTCTTGTAGGCAATCCCGTTCGCCAGCTGGAGGCAGAGCTTCCGGCTGTTGTTCATTGTGGCATCATTGTTGGTGTTCTTGGCGTACTTGCCGCCGTCGTAGATCGGGATCTCCGGGATCTCTGGCATGTCGACGGGGCACGTGTTGTCCGGCGAGCAGCTCTCGCTGATGAAGGAAATGGAGTCACAGGTCTCCGAGTTGGCCTCCGTTTCGCTGAGGGTCTGCTCGTTGGACACAGACTCCTGCTGCTGCTGCTGTTGCTGCTGGTGCTGCTGCTGTTGCTGCTGGTGCTGCTGCTGTTGTTGTGCTGCTGTCTGGCGGACTGGCGTGGAGGTGGCCGCTGGAGCAGACGCCGGAGCGGCCGCTGCAGCTGGGGAGGAGGTCTGCTTGGAGAGCGTCTTCTTGATGATCTCCCCCCGCTCGTTGGTCATCGTTTCGTTGTTGATGATGAACACATTCGAGTTCTCCAGCATCTTGCCGTTCTCCAGGGTGATCACGCTCCTCACTGGCGAGTTCTGCACAAAGATCTTGGTGCTGGGTATGCTCTGGCCGGCCCCGCTCGAGGTGGTCGTGACCTGCAGCGTGATCGAGTTGTTGCTGCTCGAGTTGGGCACTCCGTTGTGGGTGTGCGTGTGGGTGTGGGGGTAGCTGAGCTCCTCCAGGATGCGATTCGGTGTGCTGGCCCTCTGCCTCTGGGCCTGGGCCTCGGCCACGCGGGCCCGCATCGCCTGGTGACGCGGCGTGCCCCGCGGCGAGCCGTTCAGCAGCAGAATGGACCGCGTGCTGCCGCCACTGCTGCCACTGCCGCCGCCTCCGCCGCCGCCGATGCCACTGCTGCCCGTTGAAGGGGGCGCCACCACGGCGGTGTTGGTGGAACACTGCGAATCGAGACTAGAATGGCCGCTGGTCTTCTGGCTGAACGAGACCTTGCCGATGCTGTCGATGCTCGAGGGGCCGCTCGCGAACATCGAGGACGTCTTGCACGACTCCAGGCTGGAGGGGCCGCTGCTCTGCAGGCTCCTGTACGTGGCCTTGTTGTCCGTGCAGCTGTTGATGATCAGTCCGTCCGTCTGGCGCTTGGCCGCCGCCGCCTTCAGGGTGGCGGAGCGCGAGGGCGAGCTCTCAAAGATGTGCTTCCCAATCACCGACTTTTGTGCTGTCTTCGGGGGCGCGTGCCCCTGCCCCTGCCCTTGCCCCTGCCCCATGGGGTGGCCCAGGCGCGAGAGCGTGGCCGAGGAGTGGTTCATCTTGGCGGCTGTCGTCGTGACTGTGGTGGCTGGTATGGACTGCGTGGAGCGAGGTAGCGAGCCGCTGCAGTAAACCGGCGAACGGCGTCGGATGGGCGAGCAGTCGCGCGAGGATATCAAGAAGGTCGATTCGCTGGACATGTGACGGCGGTGGCGACGCGGCAGCGTCGACGAGCGCTGGCTCAGCTCCGAGCCGTCGTAGAAGGTCGAATTGGAGAGGGTGTGGGCCACAGGCATGTCCTGCAGGAGACGGGAACGGGAACGGGCTTAGAATGGTTATGGGGGCTTGGAAAGTGTGCAATGCTTACGTGCTCGGCCGTTTGGGTGCCCACGCTGTGCAGATGGACGGCTCGCGTGTTGAACCACTCTGCGGGCGGGAACTGTGCGGAATATGTCTCGATCTGGCGCTGCTTGGCCCTGCCACTGCGTCGGAACAGGCGTGAGAGCAAAGATCCTTTTTCTGTGGGGTCACAAGTCATAAATCGGATTAGTTTGGATCGTCCAGGGGACGGCCGGGGATCTTCCACTCACTGGGTGATGACGAATCTGTGCTTTGGTATTCCGAGCTGCTGCTGTCCGTGGTGTTCAGCGTCTGGGCGTACGTCTTGGACAGACTGCGGGTGGAGGCGCAGCGTTGCAGGCGCTTCGACGATCCAAAGAGCCGCAAACTGTGCCGCCGCTCCAAGCTGCGTGGCGTCGGAAACGAGGCGCTGCGTCGCTTGGCCGCCCTTGGGTAAATGATCTTGTCGTTGGGGTTGCCTGTTGATGGATTGATGGATTGACTAGCGATTGATTCAGCGTTGTGTTGACTCACCTCCGCAGATCACATCCGCCAGATTCGTTTGGATGCACTGGTGGGTGAGGTCGCCGTCCCGCTCCGTGGATATCTCGCCGTACAGCGAGTGCAGGGCCTCCGAGTTGGACATGAGCATGGTGCGTGCCTCTTGGGGCACCACATCGTCGCTGTGCTGCTGCTCCTCCTCCTCCAGCTGGGCGTAGGCCAGGCCCCCGTTCATCTGATGGTGATTGCTGCGCGGTCGCGACCGACTGCGGCGTCGTCTGCGGGCGAGCGAGGGGTCAATGGCGTGGCGTCCAAGGATATCGGGTCAGGGGGGCACACTCACTCTGGCGTAAAGATGAAGTATCCCTTCGACGTCTGGTAGATCTTCTGCTCCTGCATCAGCTGGGCCAGCGTGTCGTAGATCACCTCCGTGGCTGGGGTCGTCATGTGGGGGAAGCGGGCGCCCAGCTTGCCGCGCACATGCTCCACGGTGGCCGACTGCCCCTCGGCGGTGAGGTCCATGATCACGTCGCAGAGCGCCTCCGGCAGCGGCGTGAACTGTCCCTGAACCGTCGGCGTCACAATGCAATCGTCAATGTCGCCTGCAACGAGCGAATGGGTGGAAGGGGCCGCGGGGGGGGGCACAGTGAGTTTTTGATGGTCATGCTACGAATAAGGCTAATCATCGCTGCCACAAACCAGCTACGCCCCATTTTGGG